TTTGTTTGCTTCGAAGTTTGAAAGTGAGCAAAAATGAGCACAGAATGTTCACTTGTGGTTAAGAGTCTCTAGACACTCTGTAGTAAAAATCGTATTCAGCGAGAAATATGAAAATGTATGATTTCGATACGATCTCAACTATAATTGCTTATTTGACAAAATTCGTTTTCTTCGAAGTTTGAAAGTGAGGAAAAATGAGCACAGAATGTTCACTTGTAGTGAAGAGTCTCTAGACACTCTAGAGTAAAAATCTTATTCAGCGAGAAATATCAAAATGTATGATTTCGGTACGATCTCAAATAAACCCCCCCCCGTATTAGAAGACCCCTGGTCTTCTATTATGTCCCGTCGTAAAAATTTCTCAGGGGGATCTTCTATTATGTCCTAGGTTTTTTAGCAATTATTAACTAAATGCGGTTTTCCAGAAAGCCAGAGCGATTTTCAGGATTTTCATAGGGATTTTCGCGGTTTTGAGGATTGATGGATACATTTGGACTCACTTCCTAAATATTCCCAGCTGAAAAACTTAAAAACTGTGCACTTCCGGACGAAAATTCCCTAATTAAAGTTCCTAATTAGCGAAAAATTAATTAATTAAAGGGGAGATCTTCTAATACGCCCGATGAACTTTTTGTCCAGGGGGGTCTTCTATTATGGGGGGGGGGGCGGGGTCCACTAATATGGAGGGGGGGTCTTCTAATGCGGGGAGGGGTTTATAATTTGTGATTTCACAAAATTTGTTTTGTTCGAAGTTTGAAAGTGAGCAAAAATGAGCACTGAATAGTAGCTTTTGGTAGAGCCGCTCTGGACAGGCTCTAATGAAAATTTTATTAAGAGAAAAATAGGGGAATAAATAATTTCGATATGGTCTGAAGTAGAATTTCTGAGTTCCAGAATATTTATTTTGTTGAAAGTTGGAAAGTTAGAAAAAGTGAGCACTGAATGCTCATCTCTGTTAAAGCGCCTCTAGGGGGCCTATAGTTGAATTCGGGTTCGGCGAGAGAGATCGAAATATATGATTTCGATACTATTTTAAATATAGTTTTGAGTTTCGTAAAAATTGCTTTGTGGGAAAGTTGAAAGTGAGCAAATGTGATCATTGAATGCTCACTGGTATAAAAGTATGTCTGCATAGTGTTATATTGAAATATTGAGTCGGTAGAAAAGATAGAAAAATATGACTTCGATACGACCTGAAAGATAATTTTACATTGCGTAGCTTCAATTGATTTCAAAGGTCGGAACGATGTAAAAGTGAGCATTGAATGCTTATTTTTGGAAATCGTCTCTACAGAGTCGCATTCTGATAATCTGATTCGCTGAAAAAGGTAGAACAAAATGATTTCTATACGATGTCAATGGCAGCCCTTATGTGAAGAGGTTTCCGTTTTTCGCGAAGTGTGCGTGTGGGAAAAAGTGAGCATGGAATGCTCTCTTACGGAAAACGTCGGTAGATAGTGTTATAGCAAAAATATGATTTGGCGAAAGGCATAGAAAAATATGATTTCGATTCGATCTGAAAGATAATTCTAGGTTGAATAACTTTGTATATTTTCGAACTTTGAAACTGACGAAAAGTGAGCAGTGAATGCTCACTTTTTAAAAGCTTCTGGCCAGCGTGTGAGAGCAAAAATATTATTGCGCGAAGGAGATGGAAAAATACGATTTCTAGCGAAGCTCCAAAATAATCGTAAGTTCAATAAATTTTGATTTTTACGAACTTTGAAAATGATGAAAAGTGAGCATTGAATGCTCACTTTCGAAAGCTTGTGTAGACAGTGTCATGGCTGAAAGCTGATTCAGCGAAAGAAATAGAAGAATATTATTTCCGTACAATCTCAAAGATAATCCTAAGTTCAATAACTTTGGTTTTTTTCCGAACTTTGGTAGTGACCAAGGATGGGCATTGAATGATTACGTGTGGAAAAAGTCTCTAAGGCAAT